GAATGAATTCCACAATTGAAACCCATCACAGAGGTGGAGGAGGATTATATACCCTTTCCCCCTGCGAACAAGACTGTGTCCAGCTCTCCCATGGTGCAGTGCAACAGGGCATGTCTGTGAGCAAACACCCCCTGGCTAAACTTTCTGGTCTGGGCACCAAGAAGGAATCAAAAGATAAAGATGACTCACTGCTGAAGACAAAGACTGACCCCTCCTTGAGAAGAACAGGCCATACCTAACAGCCCCTGCTGTACATTTGTCTATGGGACCATAAAAGTGAACAACCAAACATCCTCTCTCCATCTTTCTTATCAATGTGCAAAAAAATTTTTTTTCCTAAAGACTGGATCTGCTCCCACGTGCCACAAGCCCCTGGAGAGCGAAGTAGCACCAGGGCCTTTCACCTGGGTTGGCAGGTGTGACGGCTAGGAGAGAGAAGAGTTAAAAGAGCTTTCTTCACTGTTCAGGGTATGGCCTGAGTCTAAACGCCTATACCTGCTCATCCTGAGCGCGCTAGATTAGAAGCCACGAGAAAAAGATGGTAATCTTGGGTTATTGTGCTACCCAGTGATGGGACTGTAACTTGGGGAGCCGTGTTTTTATGAATACTCTACATTACACTAAATAGATAGCCCTTTCAGGGTGTAAAGCCACTCACGGACAGGTGAAATGTGCGACTTCAAGAAAAACAGAATTGTACGGGACTACTTAAGCAATGCTACATAAGAAATGGGGCTTAAAAGGATGTCTCATAAGCCCTCTAACTTGTATAGTAAATGAAAATGGCACAGGGTGCATTTAAAATAGGTTGGGAAGGAAATCCGGAGAGGTAGTGGACCCTAGGGAGGTCTACATTTCGTATCTGAAATGTCACCACGGAGGCAACAGAGAACAGTTATAATGGCAGAGTCCTATATGCCTCAAATTCCGTTTATTAAACCTGCTCTTTTTTCCTCTCCCTTATTGTCAGCATTAAGCATCTCAGACTTGCTCTTTTGTTTGACCCCAACCAAAGGAATTCACTGCTCAGTGCTGAGAATTTGGCTTGTAGAAAGAATCTCGATAAAAGGAGAAAACATATTCCCTCTTCCTTTACAGCTACAGAAGAGTAGACACTTCTTCCTTCACAAAGTGATTTCTGATAAAGTGGCAAACTGGGAATAATCACACAGATGTGCATCTTAGTCTGTTCTCCAGTGTGGAGACTGGCATAAAATATACAACCTCCCCTGTTTTCTAACTTGTTAACAAAGATTTTAGACAGCTGTGTGATGGCTTCAGCGACTATGGTGAGGAGCTCTAAAATGCAACCTTTGACCTCTAAAAAGGCTGTTTTCTAACTGGCTGCCATACGTCTTACTTGATAATTTGTCCTGGTCATAATATTTAAAGTGGGATCCATGATTTTAAGAAAAGTAGTAAGTACATATAAGGCTTTCTTTAGTTTTTGATTGGCCAGAGAACTTGATGTCCTCTTTTCCCTTCATGCATGCTTTCATACATAAAGCATAAATAAATAACGTATATTCTTTGTTCAAAGTTCGAGTCTTTGTCTTATTTAAAGTATCATACCCAAATTCAGCTGGTGGATAAACAGGCACAAAAAGCATGAGACAAACTCATCTGCTAAAGAATAAAAGAGAGAAACTATTTTTACAAGGGTTTTTTTTTTTAGGCACACGCATACATTAATTCAGAATTGTTTCTCCCTCTAATTTCTTCCTCAACCAGAGAGGTCAGACGCTGGTTTAATTCAATCAACCTCGTTACTATTCCGCTCCAGCTCCACCTAAATTGTTGCGCAGGGAACATTCGCTGGGTCCGCTGGTATCCACAGGAAGCTCTGCTCTGCTCCTTGGCCACAGGGTCCTAGCCCCACCAACCCACTTAATCCATGGATCCTTATTAACAGCCAATAGGCTCTTCTTTATTATGGGTAGGTTATCATTCCGTTTGACAGAGTATCATTCCTAGGATTGGCTTAGCACAAATAGGACACACCTTTTTCTTTTTCAAACACAAAGCTCAAATTCACCTAATCTTTCCAGTACATTCTAATTCTATTTCTCCTCAGCTGTGTTTTACCTTCATCTGCCAACACATATTTAAAAACAACACAGACATACTGGAAGAATGTCCAGTGCCACTTCCTGTAGGTGGATATGACTGGATTTTTTTTTTTGCTGTGAAATTTGAGTCATGTTTGAGTAATGAAATAAACATGAACTAAAATGCAGAGCAAGCACAAGAATCAGTCCTTAATCAGTATCTTTTAAAACATAATTTCAGCTAAGAAGATCTATTCACCTTCACAACCCGCTGACTCGTACAAGAATGACTGACATCATCCTGTTTTTTAAAAAAAGCTTTAAGAAAAAAACAAACTCTTCTGTTTGTCTTCATAGAAATGGGTAATTTTCCTAATTAAATGTTTATTACAGAAAATAAAAGCCGAAGAAATACAAATCACGTATAATTACAAAGAATCTTCTAAAAATCTTTTGAATGCGAGAATGCCTTATTACCTATAAAGCCCCATACACAGGTTAAAGTAGGACCTCAATCGCCTCTGATACCAGGCTGGCCTCCACCCCAGTACAAATCTTAACAAGGGCTCAGGGCCATTCTAGGGAGTCCTTAGGCCCACAGCTACAGAAGCCAGCATAAAAAGATAAAAAAAGAGCCACAAAGCCCTCCAATCCACTGCCTCTGGAATCCCTAGACATCCCCCCCACCCCAGGCGGCCTCTCCCACACCCCATGTGGTATCTCCTAGCAGCCACTCCTGCCCAACAATCTGGAAACTCTGCAGGGAAGGAGCAGCCCCTTCTTTCCACAGCTGGAGGTTCTAATCATAAGCAACTTCGGCTTTTATGTCCAGGTGAAATCTGTCTTCCTATAACTACGCCTCAGCCACTTCTGTACTTGGGAATTACTCTAAATAGAACATACGATCCCTTTGCTGCACGACAGACCTTAAATATCTGAAGACAATTAGGACACATTCACTTCTCTGCCCAAACCTCCCTGCAGGTTTAAACATCAAAGCTGAAGATGTGAAAACTGATGTCATTAAGGCAGCCCCTACCTAACTAGTCTGGAATGTCCATCTGAACCCAACATTTATCGCAGCCTTGGCGTGTGAAGCACATAAAGGCTCCTAGTCGATGACCTTTAAGGATATCCAATTCAGTACATCTAATTAATCTTAGTTCAAAAAATGTGTGCCCACCGTGTTTCAGGAACTTTTTACGGCTGACCTTGTTCCAGGTAGAAGAAAAAGGCCCGTATCTTTTCTTGTCAGAAATATGAGAAAATGCTTTATAAGCGTTTCTTAAAAGCATCAACATTGTTAACATCAGTATTGTTGCAAATGCCCTGTGCCACTTAAGTAATGACATTACAATGAATTTATCCAACAAACTGCAGGTGAAAAAGTTAAGAACCCAACTGATCTTCTGTTGCCAGTAAAAGGATTCATTTGTGGTTTTTTAAAATATTTTCCAAGAGACCTGTTATATTGATATATTTATACATACTACAATAAAAATCTAATACAAATAGTTTTGTATTTTGGTTTGTAAATATAAACGAAATTTACTGAGTAATTATAACATGATGCAGAGAAACAACACTATTTTAAGGTCTTTCAGTAGTGTGTACAAGCCCACATATACACACTTTGTAGATCTCACGAGTCTCAAAACCTTTTCCAAAAAATATTTCTCTTAAGATGAACATTTAGCCAAAAGAAATACAAAAATTCAAAACATTTTTGGGGGAGAAAAGTCACTTTAAATGTTAGCACCTTTTCCCTTACAATTCAACAGCAAGAAAAATGCAGACAAATTCTTGACGGTGTAAAAAAAAAAAAGCCCCCATTTAAGAAAACAAAAACGATGCTCTTTATGTAAATCTCAAGCCTAAAAATGTTAAAAAAAAAAAAAAAAAAAAGGAACCCTGCAATTCTAGCTTTAACACTCTTACAGGTAGCTTTCTGGAAATGCGTAGTAAGGTACCGCGGTCGCCGAGCTTGTATTTTGCAACAAAACCTATGACTGCAACCCGAATTACGGAGCACGATTATGTCTTCTCTTAGGTCACCTCATTTTCATTATTGGACTAGATCACACTAACTATCAAAGCTTGAAATTAAATAATACAGGTCAGCAGGTACACGTAAGTTAGATCAACTGGAGTAACTCACTGTAGCCAACGGCAGCTCTGTAGTCAAGCCTGGAGCTCAGCTGCACATTTGCATTACGCTCAATTTCATGAAGTACGAGCAAATTGTTATTTAGGGTAATCTAAAAACCCACATCAAGGCTGCAGCAAAGGGCTGTGAGGCAGACTACTTACGTAAAGGGTTATCGGGACGAGAGACCATGTAAGTTATCAGGGAGGGTCTCCAACGTCCACAGTGTGGTCAAATGCACTGAACAAGGCGAAGCGGATCAGACCGCCGCCTCCCCACGGCACCCCAGACAAAGCAGGGCCGGGCCCTCGGGCGCTCCCGGTGCACCTGCAATGCGGATCCCTCACCCCCCAATCCCACCCCGGGCCTGGCAGGGGCATGCCCCGGGCCGCCCGCTCCCGCCCCCGGCGGACTGGCTTGGCCGCGCGGTGCCGACGCTCCGCAGCCTGGCCTGGAGCCCGGGCCGGGCATCCCCCTCCCCACAACGCGCTGGAAGACGCCGCAGGCAGCCGGCGCGGGGGTCGCGGCGCCTCACTTCTGTCCTTTCCACTTTGTCGCTGTCTCCCGCACGCCCCCCCAACCCACCCCGAGTTGTTTCCGCAAGGAGGACACCCTTCCTCACCGGCGAGCCCGGGGGGGGAAACGGGAGGACCCCCCTCCCCCTGCAGGGAGGGCTTTTCAAACAGTCTAAATAAATCCCTGTCCGGACAGGTGCCCCCGCCCCGCGTCGGCGCCCGCAGAGCCTCCCCAGAGGTACTGCCAGGTGAGCGGGGCTGGACTCGGTCACACCTCGGGCCCCGCCTCACCTGCGGGCGCGGCCGTCGCGGTCCTTCAGGCGGCTCCCCCCCTCGGCGCGGTCCTCAGGGCGGGCGGCTGCGGGGGCTGGCGGCCCATGGGCGGGGCGGCGGGCGGGGCTGGCTCCCGGCTTCGGCCCTGCCCCGGCCGGGCGGCCGAGGGAGGTCAGTGGGCGCCGCCCGCCAAACGCATCTCGCCGGCTCCCACCCGAGCGCTCGCCGCGGTGCACGCTGGGAGCGGGGGCCGGGGCGGCGAGGCCAGGCCGCGCTGACCGGGCGGACGGCTGAGGCGCCGGCGCAGCGGCGGGTCTGTCTGCGGGGCAGGGCGGGGGAGGCCGCTCGATACTCACTTCTCGGGGAGGGGGCGATGCCCCCCTCCCCCGGCTGTGGTGGGGCAGGGGACGGGACCGAGGGGCAGGGAGGGTCTGGCCGGTGGGACGCAGGCGCAGAGCTCAGGTGCGGCCGCACTGCGGTTGCCCAGGGTAACGCGGGCCCGGGTGGGGCGGGGAAGGAGGAGCGAGCGGGCGCGCGGGAGCGCGCGCGCAGGGCCACGGTGGGGGGGGTGTTGCGGGGGTGGGTACCCGGGACCAGCCTGGGATTGGGGGGAGGGCGCGCGCGGGCGGCTGACGGGGGCGGAGGCGAGGGGGTTGCCGGGGCGAGGGCCGGACTGCGCGCATGCGTGCGGCCCCCGCTCCCCCGGGGCTCGTCGGCCCCGTGCGTGCGCACGCGCGCTGTCCCCCGGAGGCGTCTGGGTGTGCGGAGCGCGCGCGCGCGGCTCGGAGGCGCACCTGTGAGGTGTCCCTTGAGGAGAGGGAGGGTGGGTGCGCGGAGCCCGCGGCCTGGGGTGCTTCAACCCCTCACTTGGAGTGAGTTGTCGGGCGGCCGGGCTGCAGTCTATTTCTTTTCGGGAACGCGGCGGGGGCGGGGGGCGAAAAGGGAGCGGGCTCCGGGTTGGAGGGAGGATGAGTGGGTTAAAGAAAAGAAAAACAACCCATCACTTGAGATGGGCCTCGGGCCGGGGCCGGCCCCTGGGCGTCGGTGGGAAAGGTCAAGAGCGGCCCCCCCCGCCCCCCACCGCAGCCAGGCCGCGCGGCGGCTACCGGGCAGGCCCCGCGGAGGGCAGCCTTGGCCGCGGCGCCTCGGCGGGCCGGCGTGGGCCCCGCAGTGCCGGCAGCGGGGAGCGGGGGGTCACAGATGGCCGCCGGGATGCGGGGCGAGGGCTGGGCAGCGGCAGGGGCGAGGCCGGGCGGAGGCCCCGCGGGAGCCGGACTCCCGAGCCGGGCTCCATTGTTGTTGGAGCCGAGGGAAGGGGGAGCGAGACGGCTTTAGAAGCCCGTGGAGCCGCGCCTTGGAGCCTTTCCAGGCGGGTCCCCGGAGAGGCGGTAATGGCCGCGCCGAGGGATCGGGGGAGCCGGGCCGCGCCACCGAGAAGCCCGGCTGCCCGGTGTGATATCGTGCGGGTTTTTTTGTTTTTTGTTTTGTTTTTTTTTCCTTTTTAGAGCGCCCCGCGTCCCAGCAGAGCCGGCCGGGCACCCTGCCCAGGTGATGAGGACCCCTTCGCGCCCCCAGCGCAGAGCGCCGCGGCCGCTGGACGCCTCCATTGTTTGACCACAACAAGGGCCGGATTCTCAGCCAGGTAAACCTGATGGCCGCGCAGCCGAGCTCTCTCTCCGCTCCCACATCCAAAGGAATCCTCTCCTCTTTCGGGACTTGGCTTCAGTGTGGTTACGGTCCCCTGCTCCCGGTTAACTCCGTATCTCCACCTCCCAGGCATTTTCCCATCCGGATCAGTCTCCCCGCATCTCTCTGCCAAGTCACCTCTCATTTCCCTCAAAACTCAGCTCCTTTGTGAGACCCTCCTTGCCGAACTCTAACGACTAAAAATCTCTCTAGAAGGAGCCTGCTCCGTACTCTTCCACTTGCTAGTTTGTTTATTGGTTGTCTCGCTGCAACAAAGGAGACCAGGTGTTAAAAAAAAAAAAAAGATTTTAAGTTACTGCTTTTTTTTTGTTTGTTTTGAGCGAACGTTCTGTGACATTTAGGCAGTTTATTATTTGAGCAGGATGGAACCGTTTTTTTCGTTACTATTTTGTCTTCTCTTTCAGAGAGGTCCCTACTTCCTTTACGGAGGCATAGCTTTTAGAGCAGAAAAGCCACCTTTCTGTTCAGCTCCCAGAGTACTTGAATTTTAGAAATTAGTGCTTACTAGGTAAAGCACTGCATTTTCTCTGTAAAAATGGAAATGTCACAGACATTCACAGAGTGAAGTCTTTCACTACCAATCCCTGTCTCCAGAGCTGGTGACTATTTTACATATGGTGTGTATCCTTCTAGATCTTTTCAAATGTTTTTTCCCTGTGTGTACTTGTATCATCTTTGTTTTAGCAAGGACTAGTGCACTCTTAATCTTTCAGTTTCAGCATGTGACGTGTTAACTCCTTCGGAAGAACTGCTGCATCACGTTCTGTAGTCTGGGTATACGGTAGTTGATTTAGCTGTTTCCCAGGTTGGTGGCAATTTAAATGTTAACTTTACATTTAAAACAGGTCTTTGGGTGGTGGTTCTCTGGTGAAATGAAATTTTAGCGGAGGGAGCCCAAAGCTACACCAATTACAGAGATGAGGCCTTTAGGATGGAAGTTCTCTTTGGTTAAGAAATTTACATGTGGGACCTCAGCCCCTCCCCTTGTGTAATTATGACTACTACTTTCAAGCCCTGTGACCTTGAGGAGGACAGTCACTCTAAGCCTCCGTTTCCTTTTCTATAAAAGCTGATAATAATTCTGTCTGCTCCACAGAGTTCAGTGACGTGGTGCATGTGAAAGTGCTTTGCAGGATGTAAACTAGTATATAAATGCTGATTTATTAGCTTTTGTCATCCAAAAGGATTTTTTTCTTTGCAACATAGTTTTCGTATTTTTTGACCAGATGTGTCTGTTACAGAGATCTCCAACTTTGAATGCTTTTTATTTTGTGATTTTGCTGTAATTTTTTTTTTATTAAGTACCGTTAACACGTCAGACTTCTTGAAAGGTATTTGACAAAGCACATTTTTCCTAGTCCTTTATGTGCGCTAATAAGACCTATAAATTAGTTGAGTGTGACTAAAATATCAGCAAACAACACATGAAACTCTCATGTTTAAACAAAACCTACTTCCTAGTGATATCAATTTGTTTTATGTATTATCCTGTGATGGCGGCAGCTTATGTCCTGGGGGTAAAATATTCTAACTGAATTTGCAGGCAGTATCAGAAAGGGTATTAACAGTTTAGGTATTGACTGAATGATGTGATGGGTATTATGTTAAGATGTAAGAAGTACAATTAGGGGTTTTGTAGGTATTTTTATTTCATTCAAATATATACGAATGCTTGTCGTGTGGTCAGCAAAATCAATTTGTTCCTGTTCTCTTGGAGGTTATAATCTGTGGGGGTGGAGGGAACCAGAGAGTAAACAACCACACAACTGCACGTACAGTCACAAACGGTGGTATCTGTTAGGAAAGTTTAGTAGTACTGGTTACGAGAGAGCATAAAAAGGGGAACACATTTTAGATTGTGGAAAGAAGGCCCAGGAAAGACTTTTTTGCAAAAATAAGATTCGAGCTGAGATCTGAAGGGTGAGTAGGTGTTAGTGTAGAGTGAAGTGGGGGATAATTTTCCAGGCAGGGGAATGGCATGTGGGAAGGCCCTGAAGCGGGGAGAGAGCTTTGCCCATTCCAGGAACTGAAAGAATGGCTTGTGGACAGATTCTGGTGGGTGAGGGGGAAGTGTGGCTAGGCAGGGGGCCAGATCATGTAGGGTCTTGTAGGACAGGTTAAGGATGTTTTATTTTATTCTGAGTGAAATGGGAAACCATTGCAAGGGTTGGGTTTGAAGCAGGGGAATGACATAATCAGATTTGCATTTTTAAACAGCCGCTCCAGCTGCTACGTGCAGAATGTGGAGGTGGGGGGGAGGATGGAAGTGGGGGAGATGAGGCAGGCCGTTTTAGAAGTCTGTCTGGAAGAGAGGTGATCTTTCCCTTGGAGTTCATAGTCCGTTCGAACTGCCACTAAACTGTGGGCAAAATAGATACTTGATTTAAAAAAAAAAAAATCCTTGTTTCTTATTTTTAAAAAGGAGGTACTTTTTCATGCTAAAGTACACATAAATATTAAACTAGTTGTTTGCGTTGTACTTAATAGAAAGATACTAGAGTCCAGTTAAGAACTAGGATATTATTTAACAGCTATTTACAAGTTTTATCAAAGTAGTAATGCATGAAATAAGAGCGAGGTAAGGATCCAAAACGAAAAGAAGGGAAGTATTTGTAGATGCTATTGCCTATGAAAATGAGAATAACAAAAAACTATCAGACAAAGAAAAATTGAGGAAGTGGCTGGGTACACGATGCATATATAAAATTTGTAGCTTTCTGAGTACCAAAAATAACCTGGCAGAAACTAAAATGGAAAAGAAAAAAAACAACCAAACAAACAGGCTCTGATTATAATGCAACGAAATATGGAAAACATGGAAGGACAGCCTTAATAAGACAAGTGCAGGCTACATGGAGGAGACCGTAAAATATCCTGAAAGATCTGAGAGGGTATCTTGAATGAAAAAACAGGCTCTTTTCCTAGATGTGATGTTTAAACATATAGCTATCCATTTTGGGATAAACTGAACAGAATAATTATGAGTAATGAGGTGGGACAAGTCCTATCCGATATAAAATGTTAGTTAATAGAGCCACATTCTGAACACTGTCATGCTGGCTTTATAATATCTGTACACCCCAAAAATATATGGGAGTATAGTAAATGATAAAGAGATCATCATGAATGCCCGTAAGCCACAAAGAAAATGTGGAAGTAGATATTAAACATCTGGAAAAGAGGGTTTTGTATGCTCAGGTGGGCAAAGACTTTGCAATCAGACAGATTTGATCTAAAAAAAAATTTTTTTTAAAGACCCAAGGACTTTTTTAAATGCTTAGTTTTGAGAGCGTGAGGGAGCAGGGGGGAGGGGCAGAGAGGGGCCAAGGACAGAGGATCCGAAGCTGGCTATGTGCTGACAGCAGATCTCATAAACTGCCAGATCATGACCTGAGCTGAAGTTGAACACTTAACGTTTTAACCGACTGCGCCCCCCAGGCGCCCCTGAACTAGGATCTTCAAAGTGAAGAAAATCATATCTGCCGTGCAGGTGTTGTGAGGGGAAGAGGTCTAGGTCCTGGCACCTCTGGGACACTCGGATCTGTTAGTAGTTAGAAATCAATGTATTAGACTGCAAAAAAAAAAAATGAAAACTTACATAAGAAGAGAAGGAAAACAAAACCATAGGATTAGAAGCCAAACCACAAAGTAGGAAAATATTTGTGACAAACATAAATGAAGATTTAATACCTTCAGCATGTAAAGAACTCATACGGATCAATGAGG